ATCTGATGACAAATAAAAATTCTTCATAATTTCTTAATAATTTCGATACATGTTCTTTGGAAATATGCTTGTTCCTTGACCTTAATATGTATAAAGGGATAGATATATTCTTAATTGTTTCAGTAATGTATTCTTTGGAAATGGAATTAAGAAACACAAAAGCAAACATACAAAGGAACAAAAATAAGCTTTTAATTATTCTTAATGATATCGACACACAGGTTCTTTAGAATCATTACGATACATATTCTTCGGAAGATATAAAGTTTTTAGAGATGAAATTAGCAAACATAGGAGGACAAGCATGTTGTCAATTATTTCAATACATGTTCCTTGGAAATATGATTCTCTCTCTCCTTAATAAATATAAGGGGAAACAAACGTATTCTTAATTAATTTCAATACACGATCTTTGGAAGATATAAAGTTGTTCGAGATGAAATTAACGAACAGAAACAAGAATATTCTTAATAATATTCGATACATAAAGAAATGTAAAATTCTCAAAAAAATTAAAGAAGACAAGAACGACTCGAAGAGACTATAACAAAGTTAAGAATTGACTTCATTTTTTTCTTTTTTTCAAAAATGCAACTTCCGGTGCAATTTTGTGTCGCTCTTGCAATTGTTCGCCACATTTTGAGTAACAGAATCTACCTGACCTCGGTTCTACCACGAATTACACGCGAATTGCCCACGGTATGTTCGAGCAATCGCGATAAGCATCGATGCACCAGGACGAGCCATGTTGCGACCAAGCCTTTTGTCGTTTGATGACCGTAAGCGTCCGTGAACACGCGCGCTCATCCGAAGCCATGCTTCAACACCAACCTACAGATCCTAACTTGCACTTTTGATTCGCCGAATCTCACATCAAACCATGGGTTCGACGATCTAAAATTAATCGTCACTATACACTTGCAAATATTCACTATTTTCTTTCAAGTGTTAAATAATTAGTACACACATGTATAAATTACACGTTCTTATGTAAATGAAAGAGGGAATATTCTACTGACTGATTTATGTAAAACGAAAAATCATTCTACATTACGTCCTCTGATCTACGTTGTGTCTCAATGTTGAAAATAAGTCTGTGTATAAATCTTTAAAAAAGTGGTGGCACAAATTGTTGACTTTTTTTTAATCTCTTCTCTATCTATAGTATCTATGGTATAGAAAAGAAAAATATAAATACATTCGTTAAGGTGACTTTTTTTTTTTTATTTTCCCCTTTCAAATCAAAATTTTGCCAGCTAATAGAACACTTTCTTCTTTAAAACTTGAACAGGTATTGTAGATATTTCTTCGAAACGTGAGAAAGTCCAAAATATGGCACTTCAAACCAGAATATCCTCGTTATCATTGATTAGGTAACTGAATGTTTGAACCCAGTGAGAACTCGAGGATCAGAACAGATTTCTTTTTTTTTTAACAACGCTCGCCATTCGCGTGCAGTCCATCAAACATCCGTTTACGAGTTCACATGTTATCGCGTTACAACATACTGCGATTATTCATTCGTGGACCATAGTGTGGGCGGGCGCGGACGTACTCGTTCCTATTCGTTTCTCGCGAATGCAGGTGAACACATACGTACGCGCCTCTACCTCACAGGCATCAGTTGCTCGCGAAATTGCAAATGTGCCGCGTGTTTTTTTTTTTTTCAAATCGAATCCTTAAGTCGAACGAACTGTTTGCAAACGCTGGCTGGTAGTCGCGGCGATGGGTCGTTTACCGCGCTGATCCACTTGACTTCCGCTTGACTTCGCCGCTCTTTTCGACGACGGACAACGTAAAGCCTCGTTCAGATGTGTTCAAGTAACGTGACATATTTTCATTCACTTGGTTTGAATTGTTCTGTGAAGCTTTCTGTTATTTGCAATTTTGTAAAGTATCTTCATTGGTCGTAATCTTCACCGGTGTGAAGAACGCTCTATCTGTGTGCTCCAATATTAAAATGAACAAAAAAAACTACAGAAAAAAAAACTTGTAAAAATAAAAAGAAAAAAATTTTCTTTTTGTTAGTGAAGTTCAACAATTTAGAGCGCATAAATAGAGACAAGTATATGGAGAGACAAAATCTACCAGTGAAAGTTCTTTATCACAAGTATTTACCACGTCAAGTCATTTAATTCCACGTACGATAGAAGTACGTTCGATCATTCGTTTATGCCAGCAATTACAATCAAGTGCAACTTCAGTTATGAATACATTAACATATCATTTAGAATGAATTTTGTGAGTCATAGGAAGAAGGTTAAAATCCTATTGTCTAGCCTAATGGGAACAAAAGCACGACGATTTAAAAAGTTAAAAATATTTCAAATTGCGTGATTAATTGATATTGTAACTAAAAATATGGTCAAGTTTTACGTAAAGTTGAGCTGTTATCTACTCAGTTGATTTAAAGAAAACAATAATCGCCAAATTATGTAACGTTCACTTCTGCTTCCGGAAGAAGTTCATTATTTTTGAATTGCACGGTAAAAACTCCAATTAAAAAATTGATACTATTTATAGAATGAAATGATCTGCAAATTTCATACTGGTAAAACAAAACTGACCACTATTTATCGTTTTCATATTTAACGTTCCATTTCTTTGAAAAAAAAAAAAAAAAAAAAAAAAAAGTAAAAGAAAATATTTTTAGATGCAAATTCATTTAAACTATACCATATTAAACTGTATTATGAAAAATTGTATGTTGGAAAAACACGTCATGAAAGGCATAGACAAAGCATTTCTCATTTCCTTAATTGTATTCAAAAAGATATCAACTTGTATAAATATTCACATATTATATTCGAACAAACTGTGCCAACCGCCATTATCATTTATCAAACCTTCGACACAGTTGAAGTCAAGTCACAGTTCATTTGGAGTTCAGGTTATTTATTTGCTTGAATCCAAATAGTTTCAATCAACCTGAACGAGGCTCGGACAGTGGAGGAATCACACGCGAGCATGCGGATTTAGGAAATCGGAAATCTCGCCGCGGGAAACTTTCGAATTTTGCAGCCGACATTTTTCTAACTGGACTCGATCCGGTAACCGGTGGTTACGTAAACGATCCGGTGAGTCGTCCGTGTACACGACCGCGTGTGCGAGGCAACGTTCGCGAAAATCCTTGGCACGCTATCGAAATTCGCGAATCGATCGCGCGCCTACGCCGCGTGCGCGATGCGATCGGCAGACGAACAACAAACATGACGACGATCGCTCGTCTTCTCGTGGGCATCGTGATATACGGTTCTATCACGAAAACAGGTAAAATTAGTCTAACAATTGACACGTAGACCATTTACACCGTGAACTCATTCGTCTCTCTGTTCCAGAGGGACGTTGTTCGTACGCCAGTTGGGAGAAAATCGGTGGCGTGAAACCGGAAACCATTGACGCGCAAACGGTCCTCTTTAGCGCGGCCAACTCAAATGGAATAACGAAGCATTGCTTTGAAAGGTGGGTAGATTCTTTTAACTCTTTCATGAAAACAAAATGTTACAAATGTTTTAGTTTATTCTCCTATTTTTGTTGCTTTTTTTGCGATCGACGCTGTCCAATTTACAACAATCTAATCTAACAATTAATTAAAAGAGACAACAAAGGAACAATTGACAGTATGTCGATCTAGTTCAATCTGGAAATTCCCCGAATGTTGGACGATTTTTAATGCACGTCAGAAAATAACTTCGCGTACAGAAAGACAAGAACGAGTTTCTTTATTGTATAAATATATTTGATATTTATAGGAAATCTCACTTTGACGTGGGACTTATTTAACACTGTTACAACGTATTCCATAAACTCTGACAATACAAATATTGTGATTTTGTGAATAATCGTTAACAATGCTTCTCAAACGTAGATCATTCAAAAAGTGTTCCATAATTTTGATTGTCGATAAGTAATCCTACTAGAACTTCGTTTATACGAATCAACAATGCAGAACGTCAAATATTGTTAAAAGAATAAAATAAAATAAGGGAACATTTCTTTAAACAATGGTGGAGAAAATTATAATTATATCATCGTTGCCTTCCGAGTTTCAGGTGTGAACGCATAAACTGCACCGCATTCGTGATAGATTTTGGCAGAAGCATTTGTTACAGCGTACGAACAAGAGACGACGAGCTAATACCCGATCCGAGTTCGATCTTTTATCACCGAGTATGCTTGAAAGGCAAGTAGAATCACGCACGATCGCGCTTCAAATTATATTATTGTTTCATCGACATCGTTTTCTATCTCACTTTATTGGCTAGTGCCAATAAGTTGCGCGCGAGACAGACTTTGGCAAGTAGAGAGAATCCCAGGTGCAGTGTTCATGGATTCCAACGCGTTTCACCTGCCCGAACCGACCACGAGGAACCAATGTTACGAGAAATGCATTGATACAGGTAAGCTAAATCGAGATTGAGAACGATCGACGCAACTCGACGCCAATCGACCACGCGATCGCAGCCGCGATTTTCTTCCAGGCAGAAGCTGCGAGTCCATGCAATTCCGCACCACGAAACCTCTGTCGATCGACAAAACCGCGCTCGGACGGTGCTCTCTCTCGTTGCACGAACGAGGAACCAAACCGTCAGCGTACAGAGCCTCGATGTACAGAGACGAGTACCTTCGAGACCAGTGTCGAAGTCTGTGTAAGTGATGAGTCTAAATCAATTTTCATCGCACACCTCGTTTTACACGATTCACACGGTTGTTCTTTTTTACACGTCCTGTTCGCAGTTGTACAATGTCCTTTTGATTTTTCTCACACGACATGATTAAAAATTAAAGTAAATGTATCATTGGCCAATGCAAAGAAAACGAATTCTTCGTTGTACGATGGAAAGTAGTAAAGCTGAATTCTTGAAAAGGAATTAATTCTTTCCCCCAATGTGAACTATTTTATACGATTCTTTTTTACACATCCGCGTCGTGTAAAAACTCAAGTGTGTTTTAAAAATGAATCGCCGACAGATTGCGGATTTCTATAGAAATTCACGTTTTATTCCTGAGGATAAAATTATGAAAACTTAAAAGCTCAATAGAGAATCTTTGTGAGTCTGCATTTTAAAATGAATGAAAAACCGTAGTCTAGACATCAGCGATGATCGAATTGAAGAAGATGAAGAAGTTCTACTGTGTTACAGCCAATCGTGAATATTGTTCCTACGTGGAATTCCAAAATGCTTCGTTACCTTACTCTGACGTAGCTTTGATGGGCTTTGACGAGAAGCAGGTAATATTTCACTATCTTACATAGTTGAAAACAATTAACGCTTTTTTACCTAATTTATCGTTCGTTTCTCAAGAGACGCTGCCATTATTTTTATTCTTCAGTAAATTGAATTTAAAGTCAAACAAGTTACGAGTGAGCAATGCAAAGATAATTATCAAGAAAACGCTGGTCTCTTCCTCTGGTTTCACTCGATTATTTCTAACCGTTAAACATCAAATCAGAAAATTCGACGATCGAAATTCTGTGCAGTGCAAGAGAAGATGCGACTCGAGCGTGGATGGTTTCATCTGTCGAGGATACACGTTTGACAATTCGTCGGGTGATAGAGTCTGCCTGTTGCATTCGGAAGACACCACCAGTCTCGGTGTCAGCTCGTTGATCGACACAGCGAACGTGGTCTACAGAGAACGAGAACCATGTTTAGATCGTATGTGACTTCAATCACTCTCAAATTGCGAACGATGACAGATGACACAGTTCTAATATTCCCGATGGTTAGTGAGGGTACGATGCAACGTTTCGACGATGACGATCGAGTTGAGGACAAACGACGCATTCTTCGGCCGAATTTACTCGAATGGACACGCTGATAGCTGCGGTGTCCAAGGTACGGGAAGTAATCGGACGATATTGACGTTACCCATTCCATCGGCGGATAAAGTTCAGGAGGGAACACTTCGTTGCGGCTTGAACCCTGCCTTCTCTATCGACAATCAAAATCGGTAAGATATTGTAAGCAACAACGATACATCGCGATTTTTAAATCAACATACATTTTAAGTATTGAAACATTAACTGTGGGCAGATATCTTGGAGTGATAGGGACTTCGATCCTCTTTTAGAGATGTTTATATATATATAAATTTGGAATTTTCTTTCTGTCTCCTTCAAAGGTATGTATAAATTCAAATTGAAATCTGTAAGATATTGTAAACGATACATCGCGACTTTTAAATCAACGAGGAATTAAAGATTACATTTACATTTTAAGTATTGAAACATTAACTGTGGCCAGATATCTTGGAGTGATAGGGACTTCGATCCTCTTTTAGAGATGTTTATATATATATAAATTTGGAATTTTCTTTCTGTCTTCTTCAAAGGTATGTATAAATTCAAATTGAAATCGGTAAAATACTGTAAACGACAACGATACATCGTGATTTTTAAATCAACGAGGAATTAAAGATTACACATTTTGTGTATCGAAACATTGATTAGGGCAATCTTAAAGAGAACAATCAGATATCAGTATCATCAGCTATTAATTCAATCAATCGTAATAAATAAATTTTATGCAGAGACATTTTTTCTATT